ATCTGATCTTTTGGAATCGGAAAAAGCCAAAAATAAGAATAAGTCTAACAATACTGTGCACAGATGATGGAAAAACTCTGAAAAGAAAAGTAAAAAATTAGCCTGTTTTTGATTTATCATCATATTAGTTTCTTAACGCAATTTTTCTATCATTTTTATGCATATAAATTTGTAGCTCAATTTTTTCTAGAGGCGTACACTTTTCAATTTTCAGGAAATTTTGAAAAGCGTTTGTATCTTGAGACATTTTCTGCATGTTGGGGCACATATTTTTAGCCTCAATTGTTTTCAATTGAAATTTATGACTTATTGTCAATTTAAAGACATGAAAAGAGGAAAATTATGTTTAAAAAATCATGAGACTGCTTTCTCATAGCTTACATAAAATATAAATTTTTTGTACGGCTGTGATTTTTTTTTCAGTGTGACTATCAAACTCAGAATCGGGGAGTAATAAAAGCAACAAAATCATTTTCCAGAGTTATTTGTGATATAATTTCATGATACAACAAATTACTCAATCATCATCATGGATATTTTTTCGGTACTCAATTCCCTGGCGCTCAGTTGAGTACCTCTCGGCTGCCCAGACGTTCAATAGACCAGCGCTCAGTTGGTCTTGGCGCTCATGTGACCAAAGTCAGCATAAAAATTGATTGAACAAAAAGCTATTCTACATTCAAATTTCAGGAGAATTAGATGCAGTTAAACGATGCAGACGTGGGGACGCATGTGTCATTGATACTTACGAAAGCGTGCTCAACTGCAATGGGAACACTTGCACTGCTCTCCAAAGACTGATCACCGATTCGAGTCTGTATTTTCGAAAAAAAAAATTTTGTTGATGGATTTCCCCCTTTAAAGATCTGATTCTTTCGTCGTTTTAACTGCGTATTTTAAGACAGTTTTTATTTCCAATGATAGCCAGTCTCCTCATGGTCTCTTAAGTTCCTGAAGTCGTAAGAGCGGCACTCACTATAAAAGTAGGTGCGGTTGGCTTAAAAATAACTTCGTCCTTTTATATGGTTTATATTCCTTTAATTTTATTTAAAAAAAAAAGCAGATATGTACACAGTGTGCAGAGGAATTAATACAAAGGAGACAGTTTCTTGTCGAATCGGTGAGAAATGTGGACTGCTGCTCACAACCAGAGGCTGTGGTCATCACGGGCCAAATGGATGCATTCACAGACCAATTTGCATGCGAGGTACTTGAATTTCTGAATATTTATAAAAGTTCAACAATAAAATATCGTAAAATTTAAATTTTGAAGAAAAGCCGTAAGGACATTATTCTCTACGATATTAAATTTTTCAGCAATTGTTCAGTGGAAAAAAAAAAACGAGGTCATCGAGGTTCAACTGCTTCAAACAAATCTTCAATTATTTTGGAGATGATTTAACCGATCAATTAGGTTTGCATTTTTTAAAGCTTAATTCTAACTTCTTTAAAATATTGATTCATGTTCTTTTACATTTTTTTCAATAGCCTCACTTTGAAAATCTCCTTTATTGAGGAAAAGTGCTGCTTGAAAAATGTCTTCGCAAAATTCGTGCATATATACGAGATCTGTGTCGTTTTTTCTGAAAGACGTCAATTTTACATGAGAGACAAGAGATATTAATCAAATTCATGTCCAACTCTATCACTTCGAAAACATCCCCGACGAAAACGGTCCCTGGAGGAGAAAATCTTTTTCAGGAACTCCTTATCTTCTTTCAACATGTACCTTCTCGATTGTTTCTCTTGATTTTTCTTTCGTAATCTCCTCGGGATCATTTCTCTTGGGTCATTTTTCATCGGGATTTTTTAATAATTCGTCTTTCAACGACCTTTTGAAATTGTATTTCAGCACTATTTCTGAGGACCAAATAATTTTATTACTCTCAAAATCCAGGAGAAGCGACGTGTCACAACTGCGACAAGGCGCATAAAACTTGCGCCTTGGACGGACGAACCTGGTTTTGTGCAGGAAGAGCACCTTTGCCAAGAACTTGTCATGTGAAAACAATTTGCATGAACATCAGTGAGTACATAAATTAATTATTATCTGATTGACTGAAAGCTGAGTCTTTTTTAGAGCCAGATCGTTCGTATCGCCAAGAGGAATACAACGATGAGAAGCGCATTGATTATGATCGGGAAGGTTTGTTATCGCAATTTTCAAGGTTGTCGCCGTTTTTTATTTTAAATTTGGCTGAAAAACATTTTTTCTAGAATATGATTTGGTGACGGAAAAGTACAAAGAGGATTCGTATCAAGAGAAAACTGACGATTATCAGGAGGAATACAGAGAAGAAAAAGGCAAGTTATTTTCTTTGAATATAGGAGGTGTTGCTAATTTTTTGTAATGGGAAAAAAATATCTGAATCTTTCTCTATACAGTATGTTGTTTACGAGAAAAAAAAACGTTCACTTTCCGTTAATGTGAGAAAGCTTTCAGCATAAATCGTTCTCATTCATGCAAGTCAAATGAAAAAAAAAAAGGTTTGTCTGTTCAGGGTTTAAAGAACCGACAGATTTTGAAAACGTGAAGTATCATCACAGGAAACATGGACTTCACTCAAAATTAAAATTGTCTTGCAAAATAAATTGTACAAATAACTTTCATGCAAAAAAAACTGATGGAATCCTACAATAGGGGGATTCATTGAAATTGACTTTGATTGACCTGTAATTTGGCCCTTTCAGAAATTTTGCCTATCTTTTTACATTTCATGAAGATTCTCAATTTAGATGTCATCTAATTTTTTGGTTCATATGCGTGGGTGTAAGTTCATTAATTTTAATGGTTATTATAGTAAATTAGTCCTGATTTTCAAAAGCTTATGCGCTGAATCATATTTGTCAATTATTTTTATTGTTGAATTTTTTCACGTTTTTTGTGATTTCAGTTAGATGCAGTGTGAGATTTTCCCCTGGAAATCCAATATTGTGCGACAAAGGACTCAAGACACATCGTCGATAAGGGAAACCCTATTTAACACGACCTGGCGTAGGGTTTGTAACAGGAAATAATGGCTGGACGCGTTGTCCTCTTTCATATAAAAAGAAAATGCTTCAATCTTATATTGCTACCATTCAACGATATAATTTTATTCTTGGAATCAGATGCGAATTTGTGCAAGCACACGAAGTGCGGGCCACGTGCTTTTTGTATTTTGCAAAGAGCTGGGCCGTGTGGTGAGAATTAGAATATAACGATCCATTCAACGATATAATTTTATTCTTGGAATCAGATGCGAATTTGTGCAAGCACACGAAGTGCGGGCCACGTGCTTTTTGTATTTTGCAAAGAGCTGGGCCGTGTGGTGAGAATGAGCAGTGCCCTCTGTCGGCAAGATGCATCAGACCAAGGATTGAATTTAATGAACACCATGAAGACTATGCATCTGTAGAGGGTAAGCTGTCTTCCAGTGGGATTTAATTCTCTTCTTTTTTTAGTCTCATGAATAAAAATTGTGTTTGCAGAAGGATACCAAGAACCAGGAGGACCAGCTGTTGCCAGATATCCCAAAAACAAGATTGAAAGACTGCAAAAGTTTTACAGTAAGTAAGGTTTTGATCATTCTGACAAAAAAAAATTGTCATGGCTTGCTTTGGAGTTTATACATGGACAAGGTTTGATCACCACTAGCCTTTTGTGCAAATCAAGAAACACTGAAGACATTGTTTATTGTACAGTATTTTCCATAAATACTCAAGTACCATGAACACCTTTTTTTTTATAAAATTAGCATATTTGGGTACACAGTTTTCAACAAAATTTTGAAAAGTTGGTGCATGTCCTACTTGCGTCTCTTTCAACAAAATTTTTTTGTTGCCAGAAACCAGGAAGAAGTAAGCATCTGGATTAATGCTCAGCTTAAAAATGAATTTAAGTGCTTTTCACATTTTTTTTCTGAAAATGCAAAGAAATCCTCATAGATCATTTCAAGTGAAAAGAAAAGGTCTCAATATTGTATTTAAATACACAGTATTCCACAAAATTTTTACATTTTGATGCATGTCTTACTTGAATGTATTTGAAAAAATGCATTTCAAAATCTAGAAGAGGTAAGCACCTGAATTCATGCTCAAGTATAAGTTGAACTAGAAGGTTTTTCATTTGTAGTTTTTCTTTTTTTTAAATGCAAATGTCTGAAACAAGCATTTTGAGTGAAATGTCGCAAATATTTCAATGACCATATTAAATTTGATACGCTAGCTTTGAGAAAACCCAAATTCTCAGTAAAGTTCGTCTTTCATTCCATCTGCATGAGAATCTTGGAAGACCTTGGTTCTCACAGATATTTTGCAGCCTCCAAGGCTGGATTTTATTACTAAAATCCTGTTGCTGTTTTTCGTCCTTAAGGACAGTCTCCTTGATTTCCAAAATTGGCAAATTTATCACAGTCCGACTCAAGCATTTGCGTGCATTGTATCTCTGAGATTTTGCAAAGTTTATTCTTGTTTGATTCTCTTGAAGTATACCAACCTTAAAATAGGGTGATTCTCACCCTGGTCACAGCCCAACCAAATTGTTGTGTTTCATTCCTCAAAATGTCTCTCAAACTATTCTAAAAAAAAATTAAACCTTTTATTTGTTGGGATTTATTCCTGACATTAAAGGCAGTTTACTGAAGATTGCATTTTAAACTCATTTTTATAATAATATGAAGTGTCAAAATACTTTATTACAATTATTTGGATTTGAAAAGTAATGTGACCATTCAAGGTGGGATAGAATATCTCCGAATTTTGCTTACAAAAGCAGGTGTGTGTTTTAATTGATAGCATGTGGCGATTATTTCTTCAGAAATTTTAATAATTATTGGTAACTTCTTTTCATCTTTATAGAGGCATGTAGTCCACGTGGAACACCAAACCCAGGAATGTGTCTCATTGGAGAAAAATGCGAAAGGGTTGTGGCCTGGGATGACAGGTGTTTATTTGACAGACGCAAGAAATGCACTAAATTCACGTCTGCTTGCCAAGTTGAAGGTATAAAACCGATGGCCAAAATATTCAGCAAAAGAAACCCCCTTTATCCATTTAAAAATGTTTTTCCTTTTCATTTTGATGAAGGGAACTTGAGTTGCAGGGACGTCAAATGTGCACACAAGTGTATCATGGTTGAGTCAACCGAATGTGCAGAATTTTGCACAGTTGGTCACAGGTTGAAGACTATCAGACTGTCATGTCCTCCTATTCCGTTTTGTCTTCCTGGATGTAAGTAAAATCAAAGCACACATTATTTGGCACTCCTGAATTTTTTATTGTAGAAAACTTCCAGATGTGAGGAACTAAAAGTTGTTTTGTGTCTGAGTGAAAATGGAACATTTGGCCACTTCTTCAAATGAAAATGTTTTCAACAGGTTAAAAAATGCTGAAGTATGGCAGATGAATTTATCAATGAATAAAAATAAAGAGTAATTCAATTCAGGTCAAATTTAGTTTCAAAGTCGATTTCCTCCATAATATTCTCTTTCAATATGAAATTTTTCAGGATATAAAAATTAGGTAACTTTGGTCTAGATTTTTTTATGCCTGGTTCTGAATTTCACTTCCAGAACCTTAATAAAAACTTTTCACACCTGATAGGTTGATGCGGTAAATTAATTTGCAATACTTTTTTTCGTCTGGAATCTTGAAGTAAATTAGCCTTTGTCATATTTCAGGTAACTTTCATGCATACCATTTTTTTTTACAAGATATCAAGAAGCTGGTCTTTATTTTTTCCCAGTGATACTGCAGAAAACCTGTCCTCGGGAACCTTTGCATCTGCCAAAAGTGACCTCGGAAAATTACAACCCAGGAGCAGTCAGGGATAATTACCTGGAACAACCCCTGGATGATCGCCTAGATTATCAAAACCCTGTGAACCGGAACCCGCACCAAGTTCCCCGGGATTATCCCCCTGTTCCGATTCGAAGACCTCATAATCATCCACCGAAAATCCCCTATAATCCACCACCAACAGAAATTGATTACAGTGAACCTCTTCCTTTGAACTATGTGGAACCCCGTCCAAATCCTGGCCCTTATAGAAAACTCAACAGTATCCGCCGAAATCCTGGCCCTTACAGAAAACCCAACCGCATAGAACCGAACCCTGTTCCGGGTCCTTACGGCGACGAGGGTCCAATAATAGGTCCCATTCCCTATTATTGATTCAATTAAACAATTCTTTCCTTGAACTCTGTTATCCTAAATTTTTTTTTGAAGCATGCAATCGATGAATGTCTGTGAAATACAGCATTTTTTCGGAGATCCCGGAAATTCAAAGAACTCCTTCGAAACATTCATTTCCCACAAAAATGAACATGCAACGATGTTTATCAAAAATGTATGTTTTATTGTCTTCAGTGGAGGTAAATTGATCCACCACCAAAATGTTTTACGAAATTTCTTTCAGCTGAAGGAAAATTTTCGGTAAATACTAAAAAAAAAAAAGTAAGGAAATGAAGCAGTTCTTCGTCCTCATCCGGGGTTGATTAGATAAATTAGCGAAAAATTATCACGGGTCGAGATCAATCCGAAAAAAAAAATCGCAAAACGACTTTCGGATTCAGGAAAAAAGCAACCCAACTATTTGTTTTTGTTTCGTTCAGTTTTTTCGTTGCTGAATGTTTTTGTTTTTTTGTTAAAAGAGGACAAAAAGAAGGAAGACGGAAGTGAGGAATAATGAAGCTTGTGGGATGGAATTGGCAGAGCTTTTGCCGAACCCGGCCCGGGTTTTGAACTTCCTGTCTTTGCTTCCGGTCTCGTTGGCCTTGTCACACTTTCCGGAAGCAGCGTGGAAATCCCAGACGGATTTTGCACGCCATTCCTGGGGTTGACCGCAGTCTAACTTGAGTTTTGCGTACCTGGGTTCGGCTCGAACCCAGCCCAAAAATGGCAGCAATTCGCAGTCGCAGTTGAGAGGATTCGCACGCAAATTGAAGCTTTGCACAGCTGCGAAATCTCGTAACATGGCTTGGGTTGGCACAGTGATCTTGTTGTTCCTCAGGTTCAGTGTCCTGCAATTAAAAATAAATTCAATAAATATTTTATGAGTACAGTACTTCGAAAAAGTTATAGTTCAAGTCCGGAACTATCCATTTTAATTGGAACTCTTTTTACCATAAATAAATAATTATTGAAGAGTATTTTATTGCATTGAAAGCGTAGATCTGCACTAAAAAATTCACAAAAATTCGATTTACATTCAATAATTTTGAAAATCGCTCAATCTTCAATAAGGTCATAGAGTACTTGCTTTTTAAGATTTCCAACACATTCATAAAATTTTCGTTATTTTCGTTTTTTTTTCCTCGCTGAAGAGATGAAACTCACTTCGGGGCTTTTGCGCCAAAAATCGGCGAATTCCAGCCAGTGATTCGGTTGTTGGACAGTGCCAAAATCTGCAAGTCTCGCAAGTCGGTGAATTCTCCACCACTGAAACTCACAATTCGATTCCCTTCCAGATTAATCGCCTGCAAATTCGGCGTGTCAGAAGAACTGAAAGACTTTCTATGAATGGCCTCGATCCTCGCATTATCCGCTCGCAGGGTTTTCAACGAAGTCAGGCCCTTGAAAATGCCGGTTTGAGGTGGGTTCGAAGGGTCAAACACTGAAGTCAAGTTATTGCGTTGCAAAAATAGCGTTTCCAAGGACTTGAGGTGGGAGAAAGGTTCTGGACCCATTGTTGAAATCATGCAGGATTCCAGGTCCAAAGAAACCAGGGATTCGAGTCCAGTGAAAGTGTCCTTTTCAACGTGTCCCAAGTTGTTGCCTCTGAAACGCAGTTTCTCAAGTCGCTGCATGCTCTTGAACTTGTTTTCTCCAAGCTCGAAATGGCCGCTAAAATATATATTTAAAAATAAATTATACTGCAAAAAAAAACGCTCATAAGATTCCTCGTCCCTAAAACGCAAAAAAATAGTTCATACGAGGGGCAAATGATAAGTTTTGGCAGTCTTCCGCTTCGTTTTTTGGGGTTATTTTTAATTCATGGAGATATTTATTATTTATGGATGATTATATGATTCTTTTCTTGCTGTTTTTTAAATTTTGATCACCAAAATCCAAACATAGGGGAGAGAGAAGTCGTACAGTATTTGTATCAAAAAATTTAAAGGTTGCTTCAATGACATAATATGATGCTTTTTTTATCCGTAAGTTTGGAACTGTTGGGCATGCACACTGTGTATAGTCAAATACTCTGGGGTACTCAATTCTTCGAAGCATTTCCTCCCTCCTCAAAATTGCAGTGCCAGGAACCACATAACTTCTTCTACTGTTCTACTCTAATTGTAAAGTGAAACCTTGTCAAGGTTAAATATTATTGTTAGCATATAAGCTGCTCCTCTTTCCTAAATCAGTTCAGTTTAACACTGTTATTCAAGTTATCCTCATTATTCCTGCAAGTCAAGCTTGTTGAGTTGTTTATTTGTTTATACTTGTGTGAACTACAGTTTATCCTTTAACGTAGGAATTCTAAATGGAAGCCCGGTCCTGTCCCAGACTGATCAACTTGTTTTATTGTTTCTCAATTAAATACTTGACATCAAATTATATTGAGGCCTTTTGTGCCCAATATAAATCCTGTGATTTTGGGATTGCTGGTTTTTTTTAGCAGAACTTTCCATGAAATTTCAACTGGTAAATTATTGCAAAGTGTATCACATGCGGGGTTTTCAGTTTTAAAAATCACTGTATGAACAATGAATTAGAACCTTGAAGTCTTTTCATGAATTCCAAATTGGTTTCAAGAATTCTGACCCTGAACCTTGGGTACCCAAAATCTGCTTCTTCAGTGTACTGAGAAAACTTTTGAACCATCACTCACAAAAAGGATGTACCACTGCCTCGGACACTANTGGTATACTTCTACGTTTGCTAATACAGTCAGATTCACAGCTTTTGCCCTTCTAAGAGTTACATATTCTTTAATTTTTGAGACCCATGCATCAAACCACTGGCCCAAGAATGAAAGAGGTATACGAAATCTTATTAAATTGGGCACACTTGATCAAGACTGTCAGAACTTTGCTGAATAAAAATATTGAATGTCCAAGCACTTTTAAAAAATCCACTCCTCATTTCTGAGGAGGGAAACAGTGACAATTCATCTTTCAGGAAGCACAAGCCAATTTTATTCCAGCATGAATGAGTTATACTGTTTATACAATTTCAAGGTCTGAAGTATTTATGGATAGGATTAAAATAATTTTTGCAAAATTGAATAAATAAAATATACGAACCTCTCTCATATTCAGCTTCTTCAAGCCTGGCCAGCCAGTAATCATTCCTTTCTTCACCACTGGGAAACTATTCTTGACCAACCAAAGTTCAGCAACAGAAGTGCCTGTGAATTGTTGAATGATGCTAAAGATATATATTTTGTCAACAAGGAATATATACCTCTGTAAATTATTCAATGAAGTTATTTTATATAACAATCTTTAAGCAACAGCAATATGAGCAAGAGAGATGAAGGCTGAAAAATTTGACATAAACTTAAATATGCAATGGGAGTGTGGGACCCCAAAGATGTGAATGTAATTGGTGCATTACCTTCTCCCTAATTTGGAACAACCACATGTCAGGCCTCATTTTCCCATAGACTTAAAGGTGAATATTTTTAATTGGTTCTTCTGTAGATGGATAGCTAAGAAAAAGTCCTTCCAAAAATTGAAGAAAATAATGTTTTTTCAACTTAAAAGAAGCAGAAAATAAACTTACAGAAGAAAACTACACAGGATCTGATCTTTTGGCATCAGAAGGAGCTCAAGAGACAAACAAAAAAAACAAGTCCTTATGATTTTTTTTAACTGAAAAATTGACCATCAAGATTGGGATTTTTCATTATGAATCAGTGGTATGTTATCCTACAAAATACTCAAATACGAGTGCGATTTAACATACCAAAGAAATATATTGTGTATTCATATTTTGTAATCAAGTATTCTATTTTATTTATTGATGTGACCAACAAGAATATTTTCATCAAGCAAGTTAAGATAACAGGTAATTTCATGATGGAATATTTTTTTTAGAATTTGTAAATGTGAATTGCTCAATTTCTTGAAGAAATGCAAAAAATAGAGAGATAAAATGTTAACATTCTTCCAGAAATCTTGGAAAAGCATCTGTATCTTAAGTCACCATCATCTAAAAAATCTTGAAGACAAATCAACCCTATTTTGTATTTTACGTATTTTAGGGTCTCACTGTATAATGTAGTTACCATATGTCAGTGTACATGGTAGTGATAGTGAAAACAAAATTCACCTGAAAGCGCACTAAAAAGAGCAGCCAGGTCCTCAGAAGTCAGTCCACAAGCAGACACGTCAAGAGCATATGTAGACCTTGGCAAAGATTTGACAAAATTCACTAGATTTGAAGCAGAAATATTATTTTCCCTGAGCCTTAGCCTTCCAAGCTGCTGCAAAGGCCGTAGCACATTTGCCTGAATGGACTTGATGTTGCTGGACATCAGCTGAATGTCTTTGATTGGAGAACCTTCCATAGGTGCCAAATCTCCTTCCAAAATGTTTCCAAAGTCATTGCCTCCCAAATGAACATGATACAAGCTGGAAAAAAAACCATGAATGGAGCAAGTTATGTAAAACATATACAAGGGTTGGTTCAGTTTTGAGTCTTTTTGAAATGGATTTAACAGAGTTTCATCAATTCAAAAAATATCACTCGCTTAGTCCCATGCTTTGGCAACACTTCAGCGCTGTTTGACATACTCTTCACCAATTTCAATGTATTCATCATGCGAAAAATCCAGCCATTGAAACAATGGGTGCAACTAACAGATCTTCATTTTTTGGCACTGTTCGAATCATATTGCATTTATCACAGAAAAAAATGCACTGAAAGAAATTGAGAGTATGTTGCACAGCACTGAAGTGTTGCCACATGATGGGCCTGCGAAATTAAAAAAAATAATTGTTTAATCTCTGTTGGATCTATGCCAAAAAGTCTCAAAACTTATGAATAAAATCTTGCACTTCATTCCTTGAAAATATTTACTTTGGCAGAATTGCTGGTCTCAGGGCAGCAGCGACATCTTTCAAACTTTTGATCCCATTCTGCACCAGGAACACTTCCTGCAAATTCACCAAGCCTTTGAAAGACTCGGGGCTTAATTTGGCAAACTTATTGAATGAAAGTGTCAAGTTGGTCAAGGATTGCAAATTGGCAAAGGACCCGGGTTGAATCTCAGCCAGTTGAGGATTGGACCGCACATCCAAGTGAACCAAATTTGACAAATTTGCAAACATATCGCTCGTCAAGGCAGTGATATTTGTTCGCATTATCCTGAGGCGACCATCTGGAACAAACAGATTTGTGGGGAGCCTCGTACAGGCTCTGCCTGTGCAAAGAACGAAGTCTTCTTTGCTCTTTTTGCATTCGCAAACTGAAAAAACGAAAATAAAACAGGTTAATTTATATTTTTATAGGAAGTTTTTAAACGTATTTTTCTCCTTACTTTCAGGGTTTGTGGAATTGTTTGTGTTCTTGTCTGCGGTTGGATCCGATGAACTCGTGCTTTCACCTGCTTTCAATCCCGCATTTCCTTGATTGATTTCACCTTGAGGAGCTTTGTTGGATATTGATCCAGTAGTGACAATATTCACAAAACCAACATCTAATCTTCTGGGCTCAGCACTTTGCCTTCTGCTCACTGTCTGTTGGCTTTTGGCAATGGTCACAGCACACAAAAATATCACAACTTTTTTTAACCACTGCATTTTGAACTGAAAAGCAGAAAATTTCATTTTTAATTTCAGATTTTCGGTATAAAACTGTCAGCAAACAATCACTAGAATTAAAACCTTTCAAAAACACTTCGCGCGATGTTTGGTTTTTTTTTTAATAGTCAGAGCTACGAAAATGTAAAATTTCGATTCGA